CAAGGAAGATGCTGCAGGGGTAAAAGGACTTGCCCAAGGTCACTAGGTCATCCCAGAGCAAGCCCCTGCCAGAGGGGACCCATCTTCTCTTCCTTTGGCCCTGTCCCCCTGTGGATAGCAAGTGCCATGTGGCCACTAGCGGTAGCATGGAGGAGGGCAATGTCGAGGGGCAGTATCTGGGGTTTGGAGCCCAAGTGCCTGGATCTGTAGTCTGGTTTTGCTGTGAGACCTGGGGCCAGTGGTGTAACCTTGCTGGGGCTGTTTCCTCAAATATAAAATGGGGATGAGAGTTGTGTTGTAGGGAGGATTTGCAGAGTTCTGAAGTGTTCTGGCTCATCTTAGGCTGCACACTTGGTAGGCACTCAGAAAGAGGCCAGTAATCGTGGGAAGGAATTATTTCTGCCATTTTAGGGGAAATGTCCTGAGCTCTGAATCTACACTGAATCATCTGCGGACCACTGAAAAATATTGAAGCCCAGCCCCACCCCTACAGAATCTGCTATACTTGGTCTGGGGTGGGGCCTGGGCATCACGATTTAAAAGCCCTGCAGGCGACTCCAATGTGCCAACAGGGTTAAAAACACTGCATGGACATAGAGAACAGACTTGAGGACACAGTGGGGGAAAGGGGAAGCTGGGACGAAGTGAGAGAGTAGCATTGACATATATACACTACCAAATGTAAAATGGACGGCTATGCTGCTGCATAGCACAGGGAGATGAGCTCAATGCTTTCTGACAACCTAGAGGGGTGAGGCTCAAGAGGGAGGGGATATGGGGATATATGTATACATATAGCTGATTCACAACACTGTAAAGCAATTATACTCCAATAAACATATATAAAAAACAAAACAAAAACACTGCATGAAGGCAAAGGTGCAAAGGCATGGCATCTGGAAGGGTCTTGGCCCCTGGGACAGTGAGAAGTAGCTGAGGTGGAGCATGAGAAACATGGGCATGGTGGGGAGGGCAGAGCTCAGGAGCCAAGGTCTCTGGGTCCTGGATCTCAGCCAGGACTCTTCACTGCCTCTGGCTTATTTGAGGTTGGAGGTGAAAGGGTGTCCCTGAGTTCAGGCTTCTAGCTGCCACACTGATGTCCCTTAAGAACCTGCTCTGGTCTGGCTGCTCTGGCCCTGGGCTTCCCATTCTCCAGGAGCCAAGCCCACTGAGCCACACTGCCCTTGGCCTTGTCCCCTGAGAGCAGGCTGGAATGCCCCACACTGGGGTCACTCCTCACCTCCTCCTCCTATGGCCTCTCCCCTGAGCCACACAGCAGGGGTGCCAGGAATGGTGCTGAAGGTGGCACAACCTTCAGAGACACTGTTTTCACTGTGGCCTTTATAAATGATGACTCCTGGAGCTGTGAAACCAGAAGTACTGGGCAGGGACAGTCTCCTGTCCCCATTTTACAGAGGGAGAAACTAAGGCCTGGGATGGGATGCGACTGAGAGCTCCATGAAGATAGGAACAAGGCCTGTCCTTTCCCACTGCATCCCCAGCACCAGCCTGGCACACAGTAGGCCTTTAGTGAATGTTGAAGAATGGATGGAGGAAGGAATACAACCAAGAGATGACTTTTCTGAGAAAGGGGCTCTGAGAGAGGCCCCAGCTAGGAGGACAGGAGAGTCCTGATTTGGGCCCAGCTCTGCCTCCAATGTGCTGTAAGAACTTAGGCATCTCCTGGGACGTCCCTGGTGGCGCAGTGGTTAAGAATCCGCCTGCCTATGCAGGGGACATGGGTTTGAGCCCTGGTCTGGGAAGATCCCACGTGCCACGGAGCAACTAAGCCCATGAGCCACAACTACTGAGCCTGAGCACTAGAGCCTGTGAGCCACAACTACTGAACCCATGTGCCACAACTACTGAAGCCCACGTGCCTAGAGCCCATGCTCCGCAACAAGAGAAGCCACTGCAATGAGAAGCCCGCGCACCACAAACAAGAGTAGCTCCCGCTCGCCGCAACTAGAGAAAGCCCGCGCGCAGCAACAAAGACCCAATGCAGCCATAAATAAATAAATAAATAAATAATTTTAAAAAAAAGAACTTAGGCACCTCCCTACCCCTCCTGGGACTCAAGACCCTAACAGAGCAGGCCTGGCTCAGAGGACCCATCTGCCTGGATAGCAGAAGTTCCTAGCAGGTTCCCTCCATATTTCCTAAGCTGAGACCCCAGCAGGTTTCCTGGACTTGGGGATGATGGTTGCCTGTGTTGCAAAGTCCCTGACCTGGCCTGCTCTGCCTGATTCTTGGCCTGGAAAAACACTCTGTGTAGCTTGGAGAAACCTGTTACAAACATCTGATTATCCCTGATAAGATGAGACAATGAACTTCCGTCCCGCGCTGCTCAGTTCCCTCCTTGCAAGCCCCACATTAAAATTCCAGACCAGAGCAAGGGGATTTAAGTTGGATTACTGGATGGGGTCTAGGGAGAGAGGGACACTGGAGTGTGGAGGGGTCCAGACCCCCAACATTCCTCCCTCCATATGTACTCAGGCTGCAAACAAATATGGGAAAGGAGAAAAGAGCCAGAACTTGATTAAAAGCAAATTTAAAACATAATTAAGACCAAAGCTCATCTTGAACAATTAGGACCAAGGCAGGAAAAGGACAGTCCTCTCCTTCGCCTAGGGATATGGACAGGAGCATCTTTTGGGCCCGGAGCTGGGGGCACTGCAGTAGGGAAAGCTCACTGGCCAGGAGAGTGCTGGGCTCCATGCACACCTCCGGACTAATGTGGGCAGTCAAGGGCCTGGCTCAGGGTCAGAGTGACCTGGGTTAAAATCCTGGCTCTGCCATATCCTGGCCTAATGCATGGCAGGTCCGAGTCTCAGTGTCTCTCTCAGGGGGCTGCTGTGAGAATGACGTGTGACAGACTCAGCACACGCTGAGCACCTAATCAGTGAGTGCCTTTTCCTATCATTCCTCCCTTGAGAACCAACTGGGTACCAGGCCACGGGTGCCTGGGCTGCAGACTCAGTGGGAAGGAGGCAGACATCTGCACTGCCTCACCGGGCAGAGTCTGCCATGTGGGGTATAGGGAGAGAGTTCAGGTCGGGACCCCGGGCTTTGGGTTCTCCCACCCTCAAGCTGTCAGGGTTGCCTGTTCCTCGAGGAGTGGGGAAAGAAGCTTGGGGAACGACTCCAGCCCTGTGATGCTCAGAGGGGATGGGCAGGGGCTGGGCCCTGGGCTCCATATGGAGAGGGCAGGTCGGGCATCTGTCACTGCCACCACTCAGCACCCCCTGGCAAGGCAACTCGTCCTGAAGCTGGGGTGGGAGGCAGGCCTAAAGGCATGAAGGGTGCCCCTTCCCAAATCTATCAGATGGTTTCGACACAAGTTCAGGGCTGGTGGCCTGTACTTTGTGCCCTGGGCTGGGGAGCGCAGCAAAGCAAGGAAGTAGTGGGCAAATAGGGGGTCTGGAATGAAGCAGGGAGAGAGAGACTACGAGACAGAGAACAGGAGAAAGGAGGGGAGAGTGTCCAGGTGGTGCCCAGTTCTAGGAAAGGCAAGAAGGTGGAACATGGCGTGCTGGCTACGTGAGGCAAGCAGATGGTTCCTACAACCAGGGGGACATTGTTGGACCCCCACAGGGACGGCCGGCCCAGCTGAAGGTTTGGCTTTGCCTCCTCCCCATGACAGTTCACTCCCCCAACTGTCCCCACCTGTGACTAGGAGATCCCCAAGGTCAGGCTGGGCCCAGCTCTGGGTCCTCCGGCTCCACACTGGGTGGGAGGCCCTCAGGGCCCACCTCCTCTGGTCCCAGGAGGCCAGCCTTTCCCTAGTCCATGATCCCAGGTCCCACAGGGGCAGGCAGGGGATCTCAGGGGGACAGTAGGGCCCAGTTCCTGGAGAAGGGGGTCACAGTTCCCTCCCTGGGCCTGGATGTGGTGGGGGTTTGGCTGCTCTGACTTGACCCTGCCAGGCCTCTGGCCCAAGCCTGGGCATGGCATGTGAGGCCCTGCTCATTTAAAAAAAAAATTGCTTTACTGAGATACCGTAATATTCACCCACATAAAGTATACAATTCAGTGTTTTTTTTTAGTGTATTCAGAGTTGTGCAGCCATCACCACAATCTAATTTTAGAATATCTCCATCACCCGCAAAAGAAATCCTGTACCCGTTCGCAGACACTCCCTATCCCCTCCCTTCCACCCTAGGCAACTACTAATGCACTTTCCGTTTCTATGGATTTGCCTATTGTGGACATTTCACGGAAATGGGATCACACAATAGGTGGTCTTTTGTGACAAGCTTCTTTCCCTTAGTGTAACGTTTTCACGTTCATCCATGTTGTCATGTGTATCAGTACTTCATTCCTTTTAAATGGACTCATCTCTCTGACACAGGCTTGGGCAACAGCAGTTATGCCTCTGATCTGAGGGAAGCTTGAACCCCCCTCCTTTCTTTACTGCACAACTTGCCCAGGGCACCTTACATCTCCAGAAGCCCTTTCCCACCTGCTCTCCCTGGGGGGGTTGAGTACCGGGGTCTGTGGGCTTCAGAGACCTGGTCAGGGTGGACCAGCAGGTCCTGTAATCTCACAGGACCATGGTGCCTTGGAGCTCACAGGCACACTCAGTATACATGGGCAGACTAAGGCCCAGAGGGAGGTGGAGAAATCGTGGGCAGAATTGGAGCTCCAGCTCCCAGCATCATGTGGCCTTAGCCTTCTCTGCAAGGCATTCAGGGCCCTCCACACTCCGTCCGCCTCAGCCTGCAGCCCACCTTCCTGTCAGAAGGGAGAGGTGGGGCCTGCCATCATACCCACACAGGGCCCCCGAGGCCCCAGGTCACCACTCACGCAGCCTACTCCAGATGAAACTATCCTGCTCCTGCCGCAGCTGCCCACAGTCCACGTGGCACATTCTGCCAGTGATGGCCCAGCCTGAATTCAGAGGGCCAGGAGGGCTGTGTGTTCACGGTGGGTGGGGACATTGCCCTCACAGCGCAGGCCACTCTGCCTGGTCTTCTCTCAACCTAAACAACCGCACCTACCTTCAGGGCCTGCACCTTCCTGTCCAGCAGGCTCTCAATGTCCCCCGCCACCTTCTCCACCAACTTCTGAGGCTCATTCTCCTGCACCTCAAACAGATTCCTGTTGTCTTTGTAGATCTGGAAAGAAGCAGAAGCCTGGGGTGAGGCCAGGGTGGTCCCACATTCCCATGTCATGGTGCCCGTATACCCTCTCTGCATAGCTCACCACAGAAAGTCCTCACCCCCACCTCAACCCTGGCTTTGGCCACTGAGAGAGAACAGGGAGGTCTGGGGTTAGGCCCAGTGCTCAGATAGACTTGGAAGAAGTGCAAGGCCATGAGCTCCACAACTTGCACTGGTTGTGTGTGTTTGGTGGGACAAGGTTGTCGCCACCTTCTCTGGGACTCAGGGTTCCTCCTCCAGGGGCCATAAGCAGCATCTCCCTGACCAGCTCAGGGTGGCTAAGAGCAGCAGAGTGGGGAGGGTGGGCTGGATGGGAGGCAGGGTGTCCGGGGGAGATGGAGCCAACAGACACACGTTGTACACCACATACCAACAAGAAGATGCTCTCACGCCCACGTGTGTACATAAACCCACACGCTCACACATGCATCACACACACAGCCACCTCTCCACACAGGCTCAGGAATCCATGCCCCCTTTCGCTGGTGCTCCCTCAGGGCATTTGCGGAAACTACTGCAGGAGCTCTGGGTGCCCCTAGGGGCTCCTCTGTCATTCTGGGCACAGAATATGGGGGCAGGGACCAGGGAGGCAGAGGCATATGGGGGGAATGAATCTGCCCCCTCCTTCTTCCTTGGGGGGGCGGTGGGGTCAGCCTGTGCACACATGCACTTGGGGGTGTAAATCTGACAGTCTGCATCTGCATGTGTGAATGTGTGTGTTATGGCTCAACGCACATCCATCTGTGTGCACGAGCCTGAGTATTGGGGTGGGTGGGGTTAGGGCCACTAGATAAAGCCTGGGGGCCGTATGGGAATTGTAGAAGCAGGTTTCTGTGGGCGTCTTTGTTCATGGCTGGGGTCTTGGGTGTGCGCACGTGCATGTGTGTGTGCACGTGCATGCGTGTGTGCATATGTGTGTGTATGCATTGCACACCCCTGCATGCGCCTCTGAGCCTGAATGAGTCCATGTGTCCATCCAGGTTACCCCAGGAAGTCTGTGCTGCAAGCTGGCTCCTTCACCAGAGGTCACAGGCGAGTCGCCACAACTGAGCTGCTGCCACCAGACTTTGCCATCAGGCTGTGCAGAAGTGGAGGGATGTGCAGAGACACAAAGAGGAGGTGACGAGGAGGAGATAAGGAGGTGGGAGAGGCCGCCGATGAGAGACAGACAGGCAGGGGAGATAAGGTCGGTAGAGTGACAGCCAGATGAGGGGAGATAAAGGCCTCTGGCATCTGACAGAGGGAGGAGGTGGGGGACCAGGTGCCTCCAGAGCCCTTGCTCTGCTGCCCACCCAGCGCCTGGCAGTGCAAGGGTTAAAGCACCGCTCAAAGCTGGCTCAGGCAATCTCCTCCTCCCACCGCCCCCCATCCCTCCGGCATCTCTTTTCTTTTTGTCCTTCTCTTGGAACAAAATAATTTGTGGTGAAGTCGCTCCTTCCCACAGAGAAGCAGCGATTACAGGGCGAGTCGCAGACCTGGCTACACGGCCAGGGAGGATGGAGGCCCCAAGTGGGCACCAGGCCAGGCTGTTCCCTGGGCCCCCCAGGGCCTGCCTCAGGACAGAGGCCCCCGGATAGAAGACAGCGATGGAGGCCGAGGCCAAGGAGGGGTCAGACCCTGGGGATCACTGAGAAATGCAGGGAGCCTGGTGCCTGGTGCCCACAGTTGGGGAAACCGAGGTTCAGAAATAGGAGAGGACAGGTCAAGGCCACACGACTGTGAGTGGAAAAACCAGTCACCCATCCTCCCTGACATCTTCTTCCCAGGTTTCAAGACATTAAAAATGCACCCTTTCCCAATCTTGGACCATTGCCCCTGGGTGTGTTGAGGCCTCGTCTCAGCCACATCGGCTGAAACCTCGGCTGAGCACACCGCGGCCCACTGGCGTCAGCAGGGGGCGCAGCCACCTGGCTTCTCAGGGCAGGGGATAAAGTTTCCATAACTGACTCCCCTGTCAAGGTCATTCCCAGGTGCCCCAATCAGGGCCGTCCATAGTGGCGGCAGCCCCAGTATTGGAAGCTGGACCATGCAGCCTCCTGACAACTCTCCTTAGGGAACCTGGGGGTCCCTCCCCTTTGGGTCCAGGATGCCCGTTGCAACCTGGCATGGTGACTGAACCAGGGCTCAGGGGCTGCAGAGGGAGCGGGTTTCCAGGTGGCAGGGTCACACCCGAGGACCCTGACAGTTGATGCAAGGGCTTGGAAGCAGGGACCCTGCTAAGAAATACCCCATCTCTGAACCTCAGTGTCCGATCTATTAAATGAGAGAACGGCAGTCCTCCCCTCACAGGCGGACCAAGGACCAAAAGATTCATGCCACGAGGAGCCTATACTATCGTCACTACTGCTATTGTTTAGGATCACCAGAATTCTGCAGAAGGAATCACAGTCCCCTCCCTGCCTCCACTCTCTCCTGGCTAGATCTGCACACCTAGGATCCAAAGTCATTGGCTCCCATTCCTGGGCAGGCAGCCTTGGCCTCCCTGGGTCTGGCCCCCTCCAGCCCCACCCAGGGATTCCTTGGACAGCACCCCCTCCATCAGCTATCCTGTCTTTGTCCCCAGCACCTTGGCCTCGGCCCTGGTGGTGATAACAGGGGAGCCTAGACACAGGGACACCATGGATAGTGTACAGCTATGGCCAGCTCCCTTCCATCTCTCCCCAGGCAGCAGGCCTGTGTGCAGTGGACCCTCAGCCAACGCATATGCCCAATTCCATGTTCAGGAGCAGAGCTCTGGAGCCAGTGTGACCTCGGTCTGACTCCACCACTTTTGCCTGCAGGTGTGCTGTCCCTTGGAGCCTGGGGCTGCATCTGCCATGCGTTCTTCCTGGGTCTACCCAAAGACCCACCATGACATCCTTCTGCTGGGCCCTGGTGCCAGCATTCGAGGCCTCTCCAGCTCACTGACCTGGCACTTGCATGCAGGCCTCTAGGTCCCTAGCCCATGCTGATTCCCACTGCTGCACCTTTGCTTACGCTGTGCCTACTTCCCCTCCGCCTTTCCCCGCTTATCTAAATCCTCCCTAGAGCGAGGGTAGGGAAATGGGCTAGAAGAAGCTTCTGGTGAGATGAGGGCAGAACTCCAGAACTGCAGAGGCTGGTTGAGCTACTAGCCAAGCCTGTCCCCCAATCCCAAATGAGCCCTTGAGATGTAACAGCCCTCGATCCTTCCATGCCAGGTGCCTCACCCCTCTCAACATTCCCCCTGACCTGCTCCAGTTGTCCCTGTCCCCTGGGCTGGGGCCCTGAGCTGAACACTGTGTCCCAGAGATTCAAATGACACAGCCCAGCAGATGGTCCCACCCTGGGGGATAGGTCATCTCTCCACTGATGTGGTCCTGGGAGGTGCTTTCCACCTGCAGGTCCAGGAAGAAGCCCAGGAGAGCCCAGGGCAGCTCCAGGGCATAGCCAGGGCTGGTTCCCCTCAACCCCAGCCTCTAGCCTTGGTCCCTGGGGTCAGCTTGGAAGCAACAGGAAGGCCAGGGTGCACCGGGGGCAGGACCTCAACAACCACAGCAGGACTGCATGCCCGCTGGTGTCCTCGGCCCAGAGAGGCAATTGGAAAAACCCAATGGCCCCCACAGCAGCGCAGCCTGCGTGGCCCCCGGCTCTGCACAGGCAGCCGGACCAAGGAGAGAAACGGGAGCCCACAGGTCTACAGGTTGTGACAGCTCCATGGCAGCCATGAGAGAGGAGATGGGGAATGGTAGTGGTACAGGGTAGCAGACTAGGGGAGAGGCTGGCTGGAGCCAGGTGGACACGTGGGGTAGGGCAGGAGACACAGCGACAGAGGGGCTGAGGAACAGGGAGAGCAGCGGCAGCTGAGGCCCCGAGGGATAATTCAGGAGACCGTTTGCAGCTCCTCGTTCCCAGGAGTTCCTGGCTCCCCCATCCTGTACCATATACCTATGGCCAGTGCTTGCCCGGGCATCCTCCTCCCCTTGACGGCACCCCCTACCAGTTATCAAGACCTGTCCTTCCATGTCTCTCATCTCCCCCCCACCCACTTCCTGTAACGCCCCGCCCCCGCCCCCCGCCCCCCGGCAGTGTTGGCCCCATCCCAACCCTCTCTCAGCTCTAGTAATTCTTTTGTTAGGCAGCATGTCTGGCCAACCTGCCTTTTGGCCTCGGAATTTCCAGGGCCTGTGGGGGCCAAGGCCTCGTCAGGGGCCCCAGGCCCTCTGCCTAGCCTCCTGCTTCCATAGCTGTCCCTACATAAGGGGGAGGTGAGCATGGAGGACACTTGGAGGAACAGTTACCTTGGACAGGAAGCTTGGATGCTTGATGCTTGCAGGGGCAGATGGAGCCAGCTTCATCCTCACAGCTCTAAACAGTTCTGACTGGGAGGGGAATAAGGTCTGAGGCACCTGAACATAGAGACAGCCACCAGAGGAGACAAAAGGCCCCAGAACCAGTGACCTGGACAGGCCCCCATCAGACTGTTGAGGCATTTTGCTAAGTCCCAGAAGGTCGGCAGCAGTGGGGTCTGGACCTAAGCCAGCACCTAACCTGCCCAGGGAGAGGAGGAAGGTGGGAGAAATGGAGACGAAAAGGAGGGCAAGGACAGCAAGGGAGAGGAGGGGGAAGGAGGGAAGAGGGACTGTGGAGGCTGCAGATACAGCCCTGTTTGCCAAGTGATGGCTCTAGCCACCCAAGGGCAGGTGCTTCACAAACTTGACCTCGCTGATGTACAACCCCTGAGGAAGGACCGCTCTGATCACACCCGTTTAGCAGATGGGACACTGAGGGCCAGAGAGGATATGTTACACGGCAGAGCTCAGATAAGAATAGTCTGTCTTATCCAAAGTGTTTGCTTTAGGTCACACTCTGTGCAGTTCTCTTCCCTGCATTTGTCCCCAAACTTGAAGATGAGGCACAGGGTATCAGCTGGGAATTTGGGGGGCCTGAAAGGGGCCTGGGGGACCCAGAGTGATGCTGAAAGCCTGAGGCCTGTG